GCACACACATATATACACATATATTTAAGGAGAAAAATCAGTTACATTTGACTTAGTGAGTTAACCACTAATTCACTAAAGACTACAATCACCACACTATATCTCATTCACTCTGCTCCCCACCCCCCAAAATATGTACCATGTGGTCACCACACTTTAAGAAATAAATGCTAGAACCAGGGATAGAAAATATTTATTAAAATGATGGCCATAACATACAGGGATATATTAAAAATACTCAGCTGAGAAGATCAGATGAGGGTCATGAAGAGGATTATACTCTAGACCAAGGATAGATTCAGCTGAGGCTAATCTTGCACAGATACCAGTGATACAAAACACCTGCAATCTTTACAGAAACAGCAGAAGACAGACATAGAGCAATCCCTCACAGCCAGCCAGACACTGAGAGAGAGATCCAATGGATCTACCGACCAGGACCATAGTACTGGCACACACCAGACCCAACTCGCACAACAAAATACATAAAAATCATTCTCCTCAACCTACATTGGTGAGTAGTGACTAGGGTCTTAAAAGCTTTCAAGTGGCCGTCTAAGATGCAGCTAATGGTCTCCTATTGTTGGAGGCGAAGAAGAATGCAAAAAACCAAGGGCATTTGGAAGCATCAGCCCCAGGTTATGATGGGCCTTGAGACGAGAAGTACTAGATGGTGCCCAGTACCAATGCCAACCACTTGGGAAAGGATCAAAACTGGATGATCCTGGATAGAGTGGGAGGGAAAATGTGAACAAAATCCAATACACAGTAATGACCAGAACTACTGGCTGGATGGAGTCTGGTGGGACCCCCAATACTATGGCCCTGGGATACCCTTCAGGCCTGGAATAAAACTCACTCCCAGGGGCTGGCTCTCAGCCCAATAGTAAATAAGCCGTACATGCAGACCACTCAACCCAGGATGATGCACCCACATACTCCATGGAGATGCATCCCTTGGAGCAATCGACCACAGGGCACCAGAGGGGCAACATTCGCATGGAGGAAATGCAAGACACACAGGAGTGCATAACTATGAGGGGCATGGGGGAAAGGGAGTACAGGGAAGGGTGGGGAAGAGAGTGGGTTAGGGTTGGGGATGTTAACTGGGGAGTGAAACCAAATGTAGATGAAATGTTGAATGAAAAACAAACTCTGCTCTATAAATTTGCACTAAAGCACAATAAAAAGAAATAAAAGGCTCAGAGCCAAGTCCAAACAGAAGGCTATATGCAGATATGAATCAAGTATATATCACTGTTAATAATAACTGACAAAGTAAAAATACTTATTCAACAAACTGTAAGCTATTTAAATAAAGGATACTTCAATAGAAAATAAAAGTATATCCTTTGAGACAGTAATGTCCATTAACTCACTACTCTAAGAAATGGTATAAACTAAAATATAGATTAACAAAAACACTTCAATTATCCACCAAGAGAAATAAAAAATTTGGGAGTATACGTTTAGCTTGAGGCTGAGATTAAGACTGG